GTTTGCCCCCTCAGGAAATATCAAAGCCTTTCTATACTAGTGTAATCAGGCCAATCCTTGCATAATTTGTCTTACAAGTGAAACAAATCATGCTGATAAGTTATAGAAGTTACCCTTTCTATTCAACTCTTTCATTTTTTTGCAGAGAATTTGTATGATGTATTCGTTAACATTAGAGATGATGAAGCAGAACATTGTAAGACAATGAAGGCATGTCAAACTCCTGGGAACCTTCGGTCTCCTCACTCATATCCAGACGATGCCTTTGAAGATGATTCAGGCGGTATCCTGCCTCAGGCCGATTGTGAAGGTATTGTAGATGGTGTAAAGAAATCTGTTGCACATCCTCAGGCAAATGACGAGTGATACATTAAGAAAGAAGTATGAGATACTGTATGATAGAATATTGTAGCCACAGAAAAAATATATATCCAATAAAAGTTCTTTTTTTTTTCGAAATGAAGGATCCTCGAGGTTTGGTACATCTTATCCAAACTACAAATGAATTGTGAGACCCCCTTCCTCCCCCCCTCCTCCTCCTCCAAACAACACCCCACCCCACCACCCAAAAAAACTGTGGGCTGGTGAATTTATTGATCTTAGCATGGTGTGGCTGCTTTTCTTTTGGTACCATGGTGTTCTCCTTGAGACCACAGGTTGCAAAGACAAATTATTGTGTGTCCGTGTGACATTACAAAGAAGCAGCCACAGGTTTGAAATTGCTGTGTCCCCAGATTGCTACCCTACCTTCTTCAAAATATCAACGATGTCATTTTAGCACGATTTTATAGGAAACTAAAATGCAATTAGGGAAGTCGAACGAAATTGTGAAATTATTTCATTAATTGTGTCAAATTAAGGGATGTTCAAACAATATTTGTAGTATTGAATGGTAGAATTACCATAGAGATCTTCTTTAGTACTAAATCTTTTATATTTTTTTAATGTTAGATCGTATACAATGAATTCAATTGGAATTTACTATATTCAATTAATAAAATTTTCAATACAATATTTATACAATGTCATCACTGTCACGTAGTATAATCAAAATTTTCTCAACTTTCATAGCACACGAAAGGACACACCATAAATGTGGTTAGGGTAGTGTCCCTGTTGTGTGGTTGGGACTTCAATAGTCTATGTTTTTGGTTTTTATCATACCATTCACAGAGCTAGTAACATACTTCTTTCTTGTATTGTGCTAGTATTGTTGCATTAACTTTTCTTCTATGGTATTGCATGATAACAAAGAACTCTGATCACTTAATCCATACCCTTTCTTCCCTTTGTTGAAGGAGGTGTTAATTGAGTCGATCTTATCGAGTTTGAATATACACAAACTAGACTTTGTTGTGATTTGTTGAGCTTGAGTTTGAGTCATGCTCAATTATCGAGTTTAGATTCTTTTTCAAACTTGACTCGATAGGTAAGGTGCAAGAATTCGAGCCGAACGTATAATCTAATTTTTAGAATAATTCAAAAAGTTAAACTATAAAACTTAGTAGTTAATTTTAAAATAATTGATTTTTCAAAAAACAAAAAATCTCTTAGACTCTTATAATCAACAATAAAAAGAACTTACTAGTTTGAATTTCATCTTCAATTGAGGTCAGAATTAAAAAATTGTCAGAATCTCTCTCCCCTTTTGATTCAACTTCATAATAAACAAGTCACTATTATTCCAATCTTGATGGATTTAATGACTATATTTTGAAAAATAATATAATAAAAAATAGGATGAAATGATTGTCTTATGAGTGAATAATCAATTTTTATATATTNGGGGGTTGCTGATTGAGGTCAGTGGGGGCTGAATAGGCTTTGTTGTCTTGGTATGGTGTCCCAGGCCCTGGCATCCCACTATGCTAATGGATTATACCGTATTTGAGTATGTGGCGGTGAAGGTTTCCCTTTAGTTTGCCCCCTCAGGAAATATCAAAGCCTTTCTATACTAGTGTAATCAGGCCAATCCTTGCATAATTTGTCTTACAAGTGAAACAAATCATGCTGATAAGTTATAGAAGTTACCCTTTCTATTCAACTCTTTCATTTTTTTGCAGAGAATTTGTATGATGTATTCGTTAACATTAGAGATGATGAAGCAGAACATTGTAAGACAATGAAGGCATGTCAAACTCCTGGGAACCTTCGGTCTCCTCACTCATATCCAGACGATGCCTTTGAAGATGATTCAGGCGGTATCCTGCCTCAGGCCGATTGTGAAGGTATTGTAGATGGTGTAAAGAAATCTGTTGCACATCCTCAGGCAAATGACGAGTGATACATTAAGAAAGAAGTATGAGATACTGTATGATAGAATATTGTAGCCACAGAAAAAATATATATCCAATAAAAGTTCTTTTTTTTTTCCAAATGAAGGATCCTCGAGGTTTGGTACATCTTATCCAAACTACAAATGAATTGTGAGACCCCCTTCCTCCCCCCCCTCCTCCTCCCCCAAACAACACCCCACCCCACCACCAACAAAAACTGTGGGCTGGTGAATTTATTGATCTTAACATGGTGTGGCTGCTTTTCTTTTGGTACCATGGTGTTCTCCTTGAGACCACAGGTTGCAAAGACAAATTATTGCGTGTCCGTGTGTGACATTACAAAGAAGCAGCCACAGGTTTGAAATTGCTGTGTCCCCAGATTGCTACCCTACCTTCTTCAAAATATCAACGATGTCATTTTAGCACGATTTTATAGGAAACTAAAATGCAATTAGGGAAGTCGAACGAAATTGTGAAATTATTTCATTAATTGTGTCAAATTAAGGGATGTTCAAACAATATTTGTAGTATTGAATGGTAGAATTACCATAGAGATCTTCTTTAGTACTAAATCTTTTATATTTTTTTAATGTTAGATCGTATACAATGAATTCAATTGGAATTTACTATATTCAATTAATAAAATTTTCAATACAATATTTATATAATGTCATCACTGTCACGTAGTATAATCAAAATTTTCTCAACTTTGATAGCACACGAAAGGACACACCATAAATGTGGTTAGGGTNTTCTTTTGGTACCATGGTGTTCTCCTTGAGACCACAGGTTGCAAAGACAAATTATTGCGTGTCCGTGTGTGACATTACAAAGAAGCAGCCACAGGTTTGAAATTTCTGTGTCCCCAGATTGCTACCCTACCTTCTTCAAAATATCAACGATGTCATTTTAGCACGGTTTTATAGGAAACTAAAATGCAATTAGGGAAGTCGAACGAAATTGTGAAATTATTTCATTAATTGTGTCAAATTAAGGGATGTTCAAACAATATTTGTAGTATTGAATGGTAGAATTACCATAGAGATCTTCTTTAGTACTAAATCTTTTATATTTTTTTAATGTTAGATCGTATACAATGAATTCAATTGGAATTTACTATATTCAATTAATAAAATTTTCAATACAATATTTATACAATGTCATCACTGTCACGTAGAATAATCAAAATTTTCTCAACTTTCATAGCACACGAAAGGACACACCATAAATGTGGTTAGGGTAGTGTCCCTGTTGTGTGGTTGGGACTTCAATAGTCTATGTTTTTGGTTTTTATCATACCATTCACAGAGCTAGTAACATACTTCTTTCTTGTATTGTGCTAGTATTGTTGCATTAACTTTTCTTCTATGGTATTGCATGATAACAAAGAACTCTGATCACTTAATCCATACCCTTTCTTCCCTTTGTTGAAGGAGGTGTTAATTGAGTCGATCTTATCGAGTTTGAATATACACAAACTAGACTTTGTTGTGATTTGTTGAGCTTGAGTTTGAGTCATGCTCAATTATCGAGTTTAGATTCTTTTTCAAACTTGACTCGATAGGTAAGGTGCAAGAATTCGAGCCGAACGTATAATCTAATTTTTAGAATAATTCAAAAAGTTAAACTATAAAACTTAGTAGTTAATTTTAAAATAATTGATTTTTCAAAAAACAAAAAATCTCTTAGACTCTTATAATCAACAATAAAAAGAACTTACTAGTTTGAATTTCATCTTCAATTGAGGTCAGAATTAAAAAATTGTCAGAATCTCTCTCCCCTTTTGATTCAACTTCATAATAAACAAGTCACTATTATTCCAATCTTGATGGATTTAATGACTATATTTTGAAAAATAATATAATAAAAAATAGGATGAAATGATTGTCTTATGAGTGAATAATCAATTTTTATATATTTTAGAAAGTTTAATTTACATTTAGTTAGTTTCTTTTGCACCATTTTTATTTGGACTAATATCACTTTGAACCTTGAAAGATACTTTAATTTTTAATTTATACCCTCAAATATTAAAATTTTTAATTTGTATCCTCAATGGTATAAATTGACAACAATGTAGACCTTACTCAAACTATGGTTCAATTTTTCGTTATAAATTGAAACACGTGAGTTACAAGTTTTTCAATCATAAGCTTATATATAAATGCACAAAATGTTGGCACGTCATGTAAATTGCACATGATAAACTTGGTTTCTATTTGATTAACGAAATCTTATTTTCGATACATGAAATGATATCAAATAGATTGTAGACGAAGATCTACTGGATAGACGCACCGCATTCTCATGCTCGAAGTACTTGTAACTCATATGCTTCAATTTTTATTCAGTTTGTTTCAATTTATGATAAAAAAAAAAACTGAACAACAGTTTAGACGAAATTCATATTGCTACCAACTTATAATATTAAGGATGCAACNTTTGATTAACGAAATCTTATTTTCGATACATGAAATGATATCAAATAGATTGTAGACAAAGATCTACTGGATAGACGCACCGCATCCTCATGCTCGAAGTACTTGTAACTCATATGCTTCAATTTTTATTCAGTTTGTTTCAATTTATGATAAAAAAAACTGAACAACAGTTTAGACGAAATTCATATTGCTACCAACTTATAATATTAAGGATGCAACTTAAGATTTTTAATATTTATGAGTACAAATTGAAAATCAAAATATCTTTAGGGTGAAAAGTGAGGTTAGTGTACTGAAGACGACGTCGTTAGGAGTAAATTAAACTGTCACCACATTAAATTCGTTGAGAAACGCCTTCCCCCCCTCTGACACTACACGAATCGAAAAAACGCCCGCCTAACGTGGTCAGTTCCTACCCTCACAAAACCTCTCTTTCTCTCTCTCTCCTCTCCTCCCCCCACCCCTAAACCACCCCCCACTCACCTCCCTTCTACCTTGGCAACACCAAGTTTTTCCTTTCCCTTTCTTCACTCCATAATTGTGTATACATGTATAGATATAGAGAGAGAAAGTGAAAGATCTTTAGAGAGAGAGTGTCATGGGAGATAGCTCAATGGGAGGAGTACTAGTCCCGTCGGTGAAGTCGGAGCCAGCAGCGTCCGATGAAGAACCACAACCGGTGATGCCGCAGACCCAGGCGGCGGAAGTGGCGGTGGTGGAGACGAAGGATGTGGTGGTGGAGGAGGAAGATGTGGACAAGGACATGCTGTGTCCGATTTGCATGCAGATGATCAAAGACGCGTTCTTGACAGCATGTGGACACAGCTTCTGTTACATGTGCATTGTGACCCATCTTCAGAACAAGAGTGATTGTCCTTGTTGTGGTCATTACCTCACCACCAACCATCTATTCCCTAATTTCCTCCTTAATAAGGTGAATCTTTCGGGGTTTTTTTTTCTTTTCAATTTCTTGCTATTCCTTTTTATTTCTTGAATTCATAGAATGCTTTTTATGAATTGATTTGTTTTGATGATGCAATATTGTGAGTTAGAAAATGTAGAAATGAAGGGACAAGATGAACTAAAGCTTGATTAGGTATTGTCGAGGACGTGGACTCATGAAATTCACTACTTTCTCATCAATAAGGTCAATAATTGCCTGGATTATTTGCTGTCGGAATTTATAGATTGTTTTGGGAAAGCATTGTTTGGTTAGTGAGAAAATGTTGAAAAGAAGACAGGACAACCTAGTGGAAGAATGGATAATTTTTTGTTTTAAGGCATGAATCAACAAAGTTGAACACTTTGTTGAGATAATGTGTATGGGTTTTTTTTTTTTTTTTTTTTTTTTTTGGGGGGGTGGGTGTTGTCCTCCATTTGCTTAATAAATAAACAAATGCAGAGTGAAATTCTCAATATTACTTTGGTCAATAATGAGTATTGATGATGCTTGAAATTAATATGCCCAAGTGCAGACCAGTAACCGTGTAAGGCTCAGCGGGGGTAGTGTGAATATTAGGGTTAATAAGAAAGTAATGGATGATGTTGGATCGAAAAAAAAACAAGATATAGGTGGTTCGCCTTAGTCGAAAGGCCAGGGTTACATCCACTGCAATGGAGACTCTTGCTCCTTGGGGTTTATATTGTTTGAAAAAGAAGATTACAGTGGGTTTTTTGGCTTATAGAGCCTTTGTACAAAGCATTTTGTGAATACCATTTTTTTGAAACTCTCCTATACAATGCTTTGGTCTTCTATTTATATATGTGGCTATCTAGGGTTTTATGTGATTATTCCTTATCTTTGTTGATTTAGTGGTCCTCCCTTCCTTTGTCCTGTAGTGGTGTTTGTTACCCTGACCCATGTTATGCTCACGATCCTCAAAACGGTATATGTATAAATATTTCCTTTATTAGGGAGTGTGTGTTCATTAGGGGCTCTAGAAGTTGCCCCCTGTCCCCTGGACATGTGGCACGAAGGGAGCGGCTTGGGATTTATCGCGTATCGAGCTCCTAGTTCCTGGTTTGGTCTACTTCTCCGAGCTTGATATGACCGAGTAGTTATATACCGATCTGGACGTCATTGGACCTCTTTTCTTGGGTTGTGGCCCATTCTTATGACGGGTTGGGCATGCTGCGAATGGGCTGTTTAGGCTGTCATGTAACCAGGAGGCCCATCGGACGTTTTGGGCTTCGAATGAGCAGCCCAAGCCGAAATCCATCATTATCAAGTATTATCACACCTTATTTAGTTATTTTATTTCTAAATTTTTTTGGGTTTGAATGGAATAGTTGTGTGTGAAGGGATGGGATGAATCTTCAATATGGTTTTGATTGGTTTTATTGATGTCAAGCTTTAATCAAGATATTGCTAATTCATGGGCATGGTAGTTGGGTATCTATTAATGACTTTTTTAAGAAGATTAGGTATTGTATCTTTAGCTCTAACACAATGATTTGAGAAGTTGGGTTTGACTGAAATGCAGTGAAAAATAACATTTCGCCAATGTCAATTAGAATCTCATTTAAAAAAACCCACTTCCACAGATTTATGTGTTCTGCCAATGAAAAGCTTTTGGGTATCGAACTTGCAATGATAATTGCCAACATACCCCAGCCACGCTGTTTGAACTTGGACTTCAAGCTGTTGTATGGATTTCTGATATCAGAATACAGATAAGAAGAAGTAACTCTATTTCCAATTCTGAATACATGAAACTATAATCTTTTTCGTACTCTTTTCCATCTATGAACACCATAAGCATATCTTACAATTGTCTACCTTTTGATTTCAAGCTTATTGGATACATTCGTTATATTTTGCAGTTGTTGATGAAGACTTCTGCTTGGCAAATGGCAAAAACTGGATCTCCTTTTGAACAGCTTCATCAGGCATTACAACAGGTCTGTATTTATTTCAAATTGAAAACCCTTCAAAGAAATAATAGATTGAGTTGCGTTCTGTTTGATAGTTCCAACTGGATAAAAATGTTGTCTCATTTTGGTGCCATTATATCTTACCGGAGATTTCACCACTGTGATCTGTTGTCACTGATGTGTGAAGAAGGGAGGATCCCTCTTACACCATATGCATGTTATGGATTGAAACTAATGAACTTACCTATTTATTAGTTGCCCAGAACATAATAGTGGAACTGCTTGCTATTACATGCTGGTAGGCTTAGTACTTTAAATTGTATATCATGAACAGGGGTCCTTTACTGCCAAGATCTGGGCCTTTTGTATTCTTCATGAGATCCTTATCTTTGTAACTGTTGATTTCCCTATAATTCTTATACTTGAGAGGAGCAAAAGATATATTGAGATTTCCTTATTGTATCTGCTATAAACAGTAGTCTTTTAGATATCTTATCCAACATTCTATATCCTTATAATATCAATGACCATTTTATGAAAGCATTATATTCTGTCCAAGGCCATTTAATAACACGGACAGTGCAATGCTTTGATATTAGCACTGTCCTTGTAAAATAATAAAATTTCTTTCATCTTTGAGAATGTGACACTCATCTGATTCATAGACAGGGTTGCAAAGTGCCGGTGAAGGAACTAAGCAGCCTCTTGTCTCTTATTGCGGAGAAGAAAAGAAAGATGGAGCAAGAAGAAGCTGAGACAAATCTGCAGATTCTACTTGAGTTTTTGCATTGCCTAAGGAAGCAAAAGCTTGAAGAGCTCAATGAGGTTCTTGCAGATTCCTTCTTTTTTTTTTCAGATAATTGAGGTTCTTGCACTTGATTTATCATTTATAACTTAGTCATAATTTAATTTTCCATTGCAGCTTATGAAATCTAAATTTGCTTGTAAAATTATTTAAGTAAGGAGAATTGTACCTTAGAGATAAACAATGATGCAAAAAATAAACATAACCAAGTGTCTATGAGCATCCTTTGTGTATCAAAATATATGTGCAGCAACAAGTCTTGACTTTAATGGCATTTTAATAAAGTTTGAGCAAATAATGCCATAAATTAGGAACTTTTTGTATAATTGATGGGGGCTTACTGCTTAGTTCCTAGAGTGAATTCTTAGTGTAATTTTTTTCTTGTATGAATAATGTCCTGGGTGAGACTCATTGAGAGGCATTCCTAATTTTCCTGTGTGTGTCAGAATGTGCATTTGTGTTCTTCACTGTCAGAACACTCCCAACAATTCAGAATGGCATGGTTTATGTTCTTACTACATTGGATTTAACATGAAAATTATTTTCTTTTTTGTAGATACAAACAGACCTCCAGTATGTTAAGGAGGACATAAATGCTGTAGAGAGACGCAGAATAGAGTTAAACCGAATAAAAGAGAGATATTCAGTGAAACTGAGGATGCTTGTTGACGATCATTCTGCAAAAACAGCATGGCATTCATTGATTGAGAAACAGAGCAGTGGAATTATCTCTAATGGCCCAAGTGTACAAGGCCAATGCTGGATAGGTTCAGGAAGTTCACAGAATAGGAAAGGTGCTACAACGGTTCATGTAGGCTCTCAAGTACTCCAAGGAACAGATGTTAACAGTGAGTCGGATTCACAACATGGTAGTCAGTCAGGGGTGGCAGTAGCAAGAAAGAGACGGTTCATTCAACAGGTTCGTACTCTTGCAACCCTAACACTGCCCCTAGCAAAGGGGACAATTGGATTCATCAGATTTTCTTGTTTGTGCCATCCTTTAATTTCTTTGGAATTTTGTGCATCGAAAGTTGACATGATCTTGGGGGTAAGATAATATCTAGGTGGAAGTTGAAGATCCTGAATGTTTTTATTGGTGCTGGTATGCGGTTGGCAAGCTACTTTTATTGTGCATTCTTCAGATTATTGGCAACCCTTTGAAATTTGATTAGTAATCTGGTTAAGATTTTACTGATGAACTGTACGAATTAATCTGTAGTTCAGTGCTGAATTTCCCTGAAGTTGTTTCTGATCATAGTAAGTTGCAACAGTTCAATGATCTACAAGACTGCTACTTGCAAAAGAGGCGGTATTGGGCCAGACCACTACATAAACAGGATGATAGGAATCCTGTACATAGAGAAGGTTATCATGCAGGACTCGAGGATTTCCAGTCTGTGCTGTCTACATTTACACGATACAGGTTAATTATTGCATTTCCGTTTTGCTGTGATTGTCCTTTATTGTCACGCTAATGTTTGGACAGGCCCTCATACTTACTTATCTTCTGTTTGGTTTTTTTAATAGTCGATTGAGGGTCATTGCTGAGCTTAGGCATGGGGATCTTTTTCACTCCGCCAATATTGTGTCAAGGTGAGTTGTGTGTTGGCCCTTTGGTAATTCAGTCCAAATCTAATGCATATATGATGAACTTAGCTATTCCACATCTAATTCCAATATCCGGAACGTCGCTATCAAATGATTTGAGATTTCATTAGTGAACTGATTATATTTCCTGGCCAAATTAAGCGCCCCTCTCTTTTCTCTGTTTGTGCCTGTGCATGTGCCTGTGTGTACGTGTGTGTGTGTCATGTTTGGTATACAATGGTGATTTGTTGTTATGTTAGCTGTCGGAATATTACTTGGAAAATATATCCCATGGAGAATTCTAGCTTCTTTTTCATGTGATACCCCTGCCTCATACATCAATCCTCGTCCTTTCATCCCCCCTCCTCTTTCCCCCTCTCGCTCTCATATTACCTTAGTTCTATGAAAATATTTTTTACTTTTCTCTCTCAAAACTCCCTTTTGTTGCAGTATAGAATTTGACCGAGATGATGAATTGTTTGCTACAGCTGGAGTTTCACGGCGCATCAAGGTTTTTGAGTTTTCCTCGGTAAGTGTAGAACAAAAAGTGAATTTAATTAAATCTTGGCAGAATCCGGGGGGTGATTAGCAGTCAATTTGCAGTCTCCATGACCAAGTCTGTATTGTCTACAAAGTGCTGGTGTCACTACTCTTTAGAAGATTCATTTTTATGCATATATGTAGGTGGCTGATTCGTGCTAACTTTGTTGGCTTGAAGTTTTTATTAGTAATTGGTTATAATCTTTTCTTTGTTGTACATAGGATTAGCATACTACACATAGTTTTGGTCAAATGGACAAATGACCACTGCCATTCAATTTTGAATTTGTGACACTGGATGCTCAAAAACAATTATAATGAATAGTTACATATAACTCCTACTTTTCTCAGGGTATCATTTAAGAATTTGCTCGAGCTGAAATGTTGTTTATGCTCTTTCTGATAAAACTCTCCGATGTTCGTATTTTTTGAAACAAAAATGTGTCTATTGTTTGTATGAACGGTTTTTTATTTTAAAAAAAATCTTAACTTCAGTATGTTATAATTGCTTGCATAATATCTTCCCAGGTGGTGAATGAACCAGCAGATGTGCACTGTCCTATTGCCGAAATGCCCACAAGATCAAAACTTAGTTGCTTGAGCTGGAACAAGTACGCCAAAAACCATATAGCTAGTAGTGATTATGAGGGGATAGTAACTGTTTGGGATGTAACAACTCGTCAGGTACTATATGTTCTCTACTGTTTTGTCTGTTCTTTCAATTCTTACTGTACCTGGAGCTCAAGCTGATTTTCCCCTATTATGGATCGATATTTGTTAACCTTCTATTATCAGAGTGTGATGGAGTATGAGGAGCATGAAAAGCGAGCATGGAGTGTTGATTTTTCACGTACTGAACCTTCAATGCTGGTATCTGGGAGTGATGATTGCAAGGTAATTCGAAAAAGACCATTGATTGTATCTTTATCCTTTTTTATCCAAGCATTTCAGAAGCTAGTTAGACTATTCCTTTGAAATGAGATAGACATTTCTATGATGTGTATAACCTTAATACCATCAATTATTACTTGGTCTGTAAGGAAGAACAGCTCTGTTTGGTGCATGAGCACTGATTAGCATGAAATGTAGTAAGTTGGAGACGTGGTAGTATAATACGATTTTATGGAACGGCAAGGCTTTAATATGATACATCACTTAGCACAACAGTGGACAAATTGCCTTTATCTGTCAGCTAGAATTCAATTTGCTGTTTCCTGTGGTTCAGTTGTATGGTCTGGGGTTCCTGTGAAATTGTTCTTTACTTCTTGTTAGAGAATCTGTTCACCAATTAATTATGAGGAAAAACCTGTGACCGCCATTTGTGTGGAAAGAGATGGGCCTTGTTAAAAGAAATTCAGCTGTTTAGATTTCTAGCTTAGCTGTCCGTGTGTCCCACAGAAGGAAACANTCGTGCTAACTTTGTTGGCTTGAAGTTTTTATTAGTAATTGGTTATAATCTTTTCTTTGTTGTACATAGGATTAGCATACTACACATAGTTTTGGTCAAATGGACAAATGACCACTGCCATTCAATTTTGAATTTGTGACACTGGATGCTCAAAAACAATTATAATGAATAGTTACATATAACTCCTACTTTTCTCAGGGTATCATTTAAGAATTTGCTCGAGCTGAAATGTTGTTTATGCTCTTTCTGATAAAACTCTCCGATGTTCGTATTTTTTGAAACAAAAATGTGTCTATTGTTTGTATGAACGGTTTTTTATTTTAAAAAAAATCTTAACTTCAGTATGTTATAATTGCTTGCATAATATCTTCCCAGGTGGTGAATGAACCAGCAGATGTGCACTGTCCTATTGCCGAAATGCCCACAAGATCAAAACTTAGTTGCTTGAGCTGGAACAAGTACGCCAAAAACCATATAGCTAGTAGTGATTATGAGGGGATAGTAACTGTTTGGGATGTAACAACTCGTCAGGTACTATATGTTCTCTACTGTTTTGTCTGTTCTTTCAATTCTTACTGTACCTGGAGCTCAAGCTGATTTTCCCCTATTATGGATCGATATTTGTTAACCTTCTATTATCAGAGTGTGATGGAGTATGAGGAGCATGAAAAGCGAGCATGGAGTGTTGATTTTTCACGTACTGAACCTTCAATGCTGGTATCTGGGAGTGATGATTGCAAGGTAATTCGAAAAAGACCATTGATTGTATCTTTATCCTTTTTTATCCAAGCATTTCAGAAGCTAGTTAGACTATTCCTTTGAAATGAGATAGACATTTCTATGATGTGTATAACCTTAATACCATCAATTATTACTTGGTCTGTAAGGAAGAACAGCTCTGTTTGGTGCATGAGCACTGATTAGCATGAAATGTAGTAAGTTGGAGACGTGGTAGTATAATACGATTTTATGGAACGGCAAGGCTTTAATATGATACATCACTTAGCACAACAGTGGACAAATTGCCTTTATCTGTCAGCTAGAATTCAATTTGCTGTTTCCTGTGGTTCAGTTGTATGGTCTGGGGTTCCTGTGAAATTGTTCTTTACTTCTTGTTAGAGAATCTGTTCACCAATTAATTATGAGGAAAAACCTGTGACCGCCATTTGTGTGGAAAGAGATGGGCCTTGTTAAAAGAAATTCAGCTGTTTAGATTTCTAGCTTAGCTGTCCGTGTGTCCCACAGAAGGAAACACAGTTGGATGATTAGGGGATATGGTTGGTAGGGGAGGGAGAGAGAGAGAGAGAGAGAACTTGTACGCCCTGTTGTGAATATAATTGTTTAATGCATGTTGTTGCACATATGCAATATTGAGATTTGGTATGAAACTCCAAATCGAAACTAATTTTTTGGTATATGTTCTTACTATCAACAATTGAGAGTTGGATAATTTTGTATTGTTTGTAGGTCTTTGACTGATTGCAGTGTGTGTATGTGGTCTTTACATCCAAACAGGTCAAAGTTTGGTGTACAAAACAAGAGGCAAGTGTTCTAAATATTGACATGAAAGCAAATATATGTTCTGTCAAGTATAATCCTGGATCTAGCACCTATGTGGCAGTAAGTCCGTTTTCAAATTCTTGAAAACTCTTTTTCTGCACGTATTGAATACATACATTTTCTACAATTCTAGGTGGGATAATTTCCAAAAGTGAGGCATGATTTTGATACATCTTGCAGGTGGGTTCTGCAGATCATTATATTCATTACTATGACTTGAGAAATGTAAGCCAACCCCTCCATATTTTTGATGGGCATAAGAAAGCTGTATCCTATGTAAAATTTTTGTCCAACAATGAGCTTGCTTCTGCATCAACTGACAGCACATTGCGCTTGTGGGATGTCAAAGAAAATCTGCCAGTAAGTTGTAATGGTTAAGTTGTTTGGTATTTCACGCAGTATTTAGTATTCATAACCAAAATATTAGTTCTCTTAGTAATTTGCTATCTGATGTAATCCTTAAGATTATGATGAAACTGGAGGTAAAAATTATTTGACATAGAAAACTGCAAAAGAGTGAAATGAAAATTTTTGTCACTTCAAAAAAGCTTCTGAGGCAACTCTACTGTAATCGAAATGGTTATATGGTCATCGGAATGAATCATTACTGTATTTATGATGAATTACTCCCAAGCTATTATCGCAATCATTCCTCTTAACTAAAAGACTGTATTGTTATGACATTGTGGTTGCATTTGCTTTGATTTTGAACCACGTTAAGAATATAACTTTTTTTTCAGCTACGCACATTCAGAGGGCACACGAATGAGAAGAATTTTGTTGGTCTCACAGTAACAAGCGAACACATTGCCTGTGGCAGCGAAACAAATGAAGTGTTCGTCTATCACAAGGTCCTCATATCATATTCCAAGAGGCTGGTTTGTTGAAATTGAATTTTAAACTGATATATTCTCGGTGTTCATTCACTTGCAGGCTATCTCTAAAACCGCGGCTTGGCATAGATTCAGTTCTTCTGATTTGGATGATGCTGATGACAATGGAGGATCATACTTCATTTCTGCAGTGTGTTGGAAAAGTGATAGCCCAACAATGTTAGCTGCAAACAGTCAAGGAACAATTAAAGTGCTTGTACTTGCTGCATGACAATGAATGATTAACATATATAATTGAATTTTGAACATTATAGAAGCAGAAACAAAAGTTATACCCATTGGAATAGCTAGGTTTTGGCTTTCCCCTTTCTCAGCCTTTTGGTTTCTCCATTTCAAAGCTCAAAAGTGCATTTTGCTTTTCTCAGATTTAAACCATTTTGTTCCACCTCCCACCTTCATGGTGTTTAGCCCATCCTAGACTGATTTGATATGCGATATGGGTATATGGTGACATGTATTGTTCGATTTGTGTCATGATGAGATAAACTTAGTTGGTACATTCATTTAGGCCGCAATTTGTTTTATCTTTTAGGTCATAATTTGTTTAGAACTCCTCTTTGTATTGCTTACACCAATATTCAATATAACAAGAAATTACGTACTCGCATTTGCACTCACATAAACAATTATTATTTATTTCATGCTAATGATAAGAATTTCAAAGCGAACTGCAATTGAAAGTGACTAATTACAATTTTTTTGTTATAAATAAAAGTAAATGATTGCATATTTGTATTACAAACACTATTAATATCATAACAAAGCATAGTATATGTTTAAATATCACCGAAATAAATAAATAAAGTGTCAAATGTAGTTGTCAAAAACACTTCATAGGGTTATTTCGTATATGAATAACATATTCTACTCTTACTATTGAGGCAATTATAATATCACTTATAAATGTGGTATTATAATTTAGTTCAAGCGTATTATGTTACAAATTTATTATTTTGTTCGTCAAATAAATAAAAAATATAGATAATTATACTAAATTAATAATTTTTTAGTTAATATATAATTAGTACTCTATTATCTCACTCTTAAGACGCTAAATTATAAAGTGAAGTATTTTTTTTCGTTTAATTTTATATTTTATCTGGTCATACAAAATAACCTGTATTACATAGTATAATATTTCTTTGTACATAAATCCCATATTAGATAAAAATTCATTGTCAATGCAGCAATTTATAAGATTAGGTTATTAACTAGTCGAATAAATTGGATTCGGCTATCCTCCAATTTCTTAAGAATGGAAGAATTCTCTAATTTTTTTTTGAACGGTCAAGATCTACAAACATATACAGATTTTGTTGATTTAAAAAGTTTATAAAATTTTAAAAATTTAAAATCTGTTAATGAGTGTAAATCTTAACAATTCAAAAGTGAAGGANTTTTTTGAACGGTCAAGATCTACAAACATATACAGATTTTGTTGATTTAAAAAGTTTTTAAAATTTTAAAAATTTAAAATCTGTTAATGAGTGTAAATCTTAACAATTCAAAAGTGAAGGGGAGGATTTTATAATTATTGTCAAATTGATGGAGAGTCAGATAGATTTAGATTATTTGTATTATTTTTTTTACATAATTTTATTTAATAGTAGGTTATTCTCTATGTATTCTATTCACATAGAATTCATTATTTATACGTGGATTTCCTATCGATATATAAAGAGTAATCCATGTGTTTAATAAACTTGTATGGAAAAANTATTTAATAGTAGGTTATTCTCTATGTATTCTATTCACATAGAATTCATTATTTATATGTGGATTCCCTATCGATATATAAAGAGTAATCCATGTTTGAATAAACTTGTATGGAAAAGTAATAGAGATGATTTAGATATGCGTAAAACCCGAATTAATAGATTAATGCAAAGTAGTAATATTGGATAAGAGGTCATCAAATCGTTACACGGCGCATTTTAGCAACTGATTAGTTTAGAGTCTTTAGACAATCCGTTTCCAAGATCTTCTTTTTTTGGTCTCAAAATCTTCCAAGATCCACTTACCGGAAAACAAGAAATTCTTCCAAGATTCACCTACCCAAACACAGCAAAGAAAAAACGAATTCTTCAAAGATTCACAGAATCAATTGATCGTTTCAAAGTTCTATAATCTATATTCTATACACACATGTATCTATATCTGTTTTAGATAAAGTTTTTTTTTTTTTGGCGGGAAAGCTATGGGGGCGGAGATCTGCGAGAAATTGATGTGCCAAACGATCGACATCGAAGTGCCGACGGAAGAGAGAAGTCCGGCATCCGCTGTAGAGAACAGAGAAGAGCTATTCGTGCCGCCTTTGAATTTCTCTATGGTCGATTATGGTGTGTTCAGGTCTAGTTTTCCTGGTACTGCCAATTTCTCATTCTTGCAAACCCTAGGCCTTCGTTCAATTATGTAAGTAACTGTTTTCCTTCGATGTTTAGTCTTCACAGTCGAAATTACTGTCTTTGAGTTTTCCTTAATATTTTTTTTGATTGTTGATTATTGAANATTGGTTCTTGGTATGCTTGAACATCATCTTTTGAATATCCTTGTTGGGATTTATACCTTTAATCACCTGCTTATTAGTTTGCTAATGTATGCTCCCATTTGTTGCCCATGTAGATGAAAAAAACCACCCACTCCTAATCCATTGCAAAAGAGGGAAGGTACTAGTACTTTTTCAGTCTTTGCTCTTTCCTCATCATGTTATTGTTTACTCATGATTTCATGCACCAATAAAAAGAAACCACACCTGCGGGTAATTATGTTGGATACCCTCATATGTGGGGTATACCATGCAAATATGATATTTTGTCATTAGATGGTGTTACCATTTGTCAATGACAACAGGATATCACTGTCACATTGAATATTTACTCGGTTATGCCTTGTTGATGGATCATTGTACAACTTGTAAATGCTAAAAGCATATCACCGTTATATTGGATCTTTACTCTAGTTAGATTATCATAAAAGGAATATGTAAGAGCCAAATTACAAACCTACCAATTAGTGTATTTTCTTCTTGTGCCATGCAGCATAGGACTGGTTGTCTTGTGGGATGCTTGAGAAAACTACAAGGANTTTAGATATTTGTGTCCGGAATCCTATCCAGAGGCGAATCTTGAATTTCTCAATGCGACTGGCGTTCAGCTCTATCAGTTTGGAATTGAGAGTTGCAAGGTTCATACATGCATTCATGTGCAACTGTTTTACTCGAAATTGATTATGTTTTGCTATAATGAAGTTAGTTGCTCTGCTTGACATTGAGATTTGAGTTAGTCGAAATAATTAGTGTTAATTGTGTGGACTGATCATGATATGCATATTGTTTCTGGTATATTATACAAACAAGTGCACTGGATGTGGAGCAATTTGTTTAAAGTGTTCATTGGTTATTGTAGAATCATCTGGCTTGTGAATTATCTGACTGTTTTCTAGAAGAAGAGTCTCCTAAGGGATATACGGGTAGTGTACCATTGTTAAGAATGAAGCTTGGACTATTTGGCTTCATCCTTAAAAACTGTATCAGTGCACATACATGCATGCCTATTCTGGAAGATCATTTGTTCAAATAGGCAGTTAGCACATGTCTGATAACGGTTTATGCATTGGAAGTGAGATGGTTAGATGGATACACTTCTTGAACCACTTCTACTGGGTAGATCATCAGAAATTGGGGGCGGAGGGAATTGTAGCCACAGTGAATAAATCATGACCAGCTGGAAGAGATCTTTTATGAAATCAGGGGGCGCTCCTGCAGCAATAATCTGTGCCCTGAATTATACTCTGTCCTGCATCCTCAAGAAATTTCTGTGCAAATAAGCTACCTTCAGTTCCTAGGAATTGTAAGTTTAGTTTTAGTTATAGAGTAGTATTGTTTGTTTCAGCATTTTGTTTCGTTTTAATTTATTCTTGAATTTGTAACAATCACAGCATGAGCTCATGGTCGATGCTCGAGAAGGCAAAAATGTGCCTGAAGGGATCATATCTTCTTTTTCTCTTCTTGAGTACGTACCTTTAGGTGCTTGACCCCTGGGCAGTGACCATTGCTGCAAGAGAAGTCATGAGAGTTGTTGTTTTCCATATGGGCTATTATGCAGTTATAAAACTGTCTACATGAAAGAAGTGTGCCATATGTCAATTTAATAAATGGTGACAATTAACGATTATGTGAACTTATATATGGTTATATGCGAAACCTAGTGTTTGCTGTTAAGTCTCTTAAATTGTTCATTTGCATTCACTGTTCTGCTGGTAAATAGGATTGCCTGTGGAAAAACATGGGACCATTATTTTGTTCTAAGCTTTGATGATAACATTGACAGGAGCCTTTTGTAAGCATTCCTGAAGATTCAATTCGTGGCGCGTTAAAATTGGTTCTTGGTATGCTTGAACATCATCTTTTGAATATCCTTGTTGGGATTTATACCTTTAATCACCTGCTTATTAGTTTGCTAATGTATGCTCCCATTTGTTGTCCATGTAGATGAAAAAAACCACCCACTCCTAATCCATTGCAAAAGAGGGAAGGTACTAGTACTTTTTCAGTCTTTGCTCTTTCCTCATCATGTTATTGTTTACTCATGATTTCATGCACCAATAAAAAGAAACCACACCTGCGGGTAATTATGTTGGATACCCTCATATGTGGGGTATACCATGCAAATATGATATTTTGTCATTAGATGGTGTTACCATTTGTCAATGACAACCGGATATCACTGTCACATTGAATATTTACTCGGTTATGCCTTGTTGATGGATCATTGTACAACTTGTAAATGCTAAAAGCATATCACCGTTATATTGGATCTTTACTCTAGTTAGATTATCATAAAAGGAATATGTAAGAGCCAAATTACAAACCTACCAATTGGTGTATTTTCTTCTTGTGCCATGCAGCATAGGACTGGTTGTCTTGTGGGATGCTTGAGAAAACTACAAGGGTGGTGCCTGACTTCAATTTTTGATGAGTACCAGAGGTTTGCTGCTGACAAAGCTAGAGTATCAGACCAGAGGTTTATAGAGTTGTTTGACACTTCTGGCTTGGAATAGTTCCCAACATAGTTCTCATATTCAAACAGTTAACCAATTGGATGCGCATTGCATATCCGGATTTGCTCTTTTGATATTTTTTCTTTAATTTTTTTGTTTTCAATTTCCTGTCGACAGAAAGCCGGATTTGCTCTTTTGATATTTTTTCTTTCATTTTTTTGTTTTTAATTTCCTATCGACGGAAAGAATAACTTGTTCTTGCTTTTAGGCGTCCAAATAGAATGTGATCCGTAACTGGCAATTGTGGTTATAGCAAAATCCAATGTGACATGTAGTAGAGGGCAATTGCTATCTTTACTCTTTAGCCCAACAGGGAGAAAGTTTCTCACGGCATATTAGTAATTCCTATTCTTCTACAAGTAGTATTGAACTTTTCAATCCAATAACAACAGATCAGTTCAAACAATGTGTGCTGGTGAGTTAAAAAACAAAATCATTCTAAAAATATTTAAAATATAATAATAAATAAATAAATAATTTTTAAAAATATTTTAAATAAAAACATGTTTAAACATATATTCAACCATGAATTTATTTGAATTCCCTTAAAAATGAAAATGTTTACATCGTATCGACTGTTTCAACGTTAAATTAAAGGCATAAAGTTAGATTCTTTTATATGGAATATTCATATAGAGATTGGTTTAACCTGAATCGGCCACATATGAATGAATATCTCCCTTTTTTTTCTTTAAACCAATTGGAACGAAGTGAAAATTTTCTTTTGCAAATTGAATCAGAAGCATTTTTTTTTATTTATTTATCAAACACCATTTGCACTCTGAATCGTTCATCATTTCAATTTCTCAAAAAAAAAAACCCCAAAAATCGGAAAATTGAAAAAAAAAAAGAGAAAACACCGGGGGGAAGAGAAGAGAGGCGAAAATGTGGACGAGCAACAATCGAATCGTCAATCTGGAAAAATGACGACTGAAACGATATCTCGCCGTCATCGCTATTCCTGCTGTTTTTTCTTTCATCAATGAAGAGACACACCAATATTGATTCGTCTCTCATTTTCGAACAGAGGTATGAAGAACAAAATCACTTAAACCCAACACACCCAGCTTCAAAATCAAAGAACTTTCACCCATATAATAGTACATAATCAATAGTGATTGAGATTTCCGATCCCCCCTACAAAACCCTAGATCAGCTAAGGATACAAGCTGCGGGTTTCGTAATTTAGGGCTAATTTTATTGCTGCTACATTCCTTTCCTTCGCTTTATAGACCAGTCCACCAGTTGAGTTGGTAACCCTAGAACACAACCCTGTACTTGTAATTACTAAAATACCCTTTTCCAGTCCATTGGATGAAAGTTTAGCCTCAGAAAACAGGCCGGGCTGGCCTACAATACCCTTTTCCAGTCCATTGGATGAAAGTTTAGCCTCAGAAAACAGGCCGGGCTGGCCTACATGCCCATATTCATCTAATCCGTGGTGGTTAGTTGGGCAAAGGGGCGTTAACCCATCGTGTGGATGCCTGGATAATGGTGGAGACACCATGTGGGATTGGATATTACGGTGTGGGCCAATTATCCTTGCTTTGGCAATGGATTTTCAGGTTGGATGTTCATTCATTTTCAAAAACTACGGCCGTAGTTTTTCAGCCTCATTATTCCCCCTCGTCTGGACAATGATATCCCGCACTACCTTTGGAATTCACTTTCGGCCGACAGGATGCACACTACCTTTTACCATTTCACCCATNTGTTTTCCATATGGGCTATTATGCAGTTATAAAACTGTCTACATGAAAGAAGTGTGCCATATGTCAATTTAATAAATGGTGACAATTAACGATTATGTGAACTTATATATGGTTATATGCGAAACCTAGTGTTTGCTGTTAAGTCTCTTAAATTGTTCATTTGCATTCACTGTTCTGCTGGTAAATAGGATTGCCTGTGGAAAAACATGGGACCATTATTTTGTTCTAAGCTTTGATGATAACATTGACAGGAGCCTTTTGTAAGCATTCCTGAAGATTCAATTCGTGGCGCGTTAAAATTGGTTCTTGGTATGCTTGAACATCATCTTTTGAATATCCTTGTTGGGATTTATACCTTTAATCACCTGCTTATTAGTTTGCTAATGTATGCTCCCATTTGTTGCCCATGTAGATGAAAAAAACCACCCACTCCTAATCCATTGCAAAAGAGGGAAGGTACTAGTACTTTTTCAGTCTTTGCTCTTTCCTCATCATGTTATTGTTTACTCATGATTTCATGCACCAATAAAAAGAAACCACACCTGCGGGTAATTATGTTGGATACCCTCATATGTGGGGTATACCATGCAAATATGATATTTTGTCATTAGATGGTGTTACCATTTGTCAATGACAACCGGATATCACTGTCACATTGAATATTTACTCGGTTATGCCTTGTTGATGGATCATTGTACAACTTGTAAATGCTAAAAGCATATCACCGTTATATTGGATCTTTACTCTAGTTAGATTATCATAAAAGGAATATGTAAGAGCCAAATTACAAACCTACCAATTAGTGTATTTTCTTCTTGTGCCATGCAGCATAGGACTGGTTGTCTTGTGGGATGCTTGAGAAAACTACAAGGATGGTGCCTGACTTCAATTTTTGATGAGTACCAGAGGTTTGCTGCTGACAAAGCTAGAGTATCAGACCAGAGGTTTATAGAGTTGTTTGACACTTCTGGCTTGGAATAGTTCCCAACATAGTTCTCATATTCAAACAGTTAACCAATTGGATGCGCATTGCATATCCGGATTTGCTCTTTTGATATTTTTTCTTTAATTTTTTTGTTTTCAATTTCCTGTCGACAGAAAGCCGGATTTGCTCTTTTGATATTTTTTCTTTCATTTTTTTGTTTTTAATTTCCTATCGACGGAAAGAATAACTTGTTCTTGCTTTTAGGCGTCCAAATAGAATGTGATCCGTAACTGGCAATTGTGGTTATAGCAAAATCCAATGTGACATGTAGTAGAGGGCAATTGCTATCTTTACTCTTTAGCCCAACAGGGAGAAAGTTTCTCACGGCATATTAGTAATTCCTATTCTTCTACAAGTAGTATTGAACTTTTCAATCCAATAACAACAGATCAGTTCAAACAATGTGTGCTGGTGAGTTAAAAAACAAAATCATTCTAAAAATATTTAAAATATAATAATAAATAAATAAATAATTTTTAAAAATATTTTAAATAAAAACATGTNGTTCAAACAATGTGTGCTGGTGAGTTAAAAAACAAAATCATTCTAAAAATATTTAAAATATAATAATAAATAAATAAATAATTTTTAAAAATATTTTAAATAAAAACATGTTTAAACATATATTCAACCATGAATTTATTTGAATTCCCTTAAAAATGAAAATGTTGTTACATCGTATCCNGTTTAAACATATATTCAACCATGAATTTATTTGAATTCCCTTAAAAATGAAAATGTTTACATCGTATCGACTGTTTCAACGTTAAATTAAAGGCATAAAGTTAGATTCTTTTATATGGAATATTCATATAGAGATTGGTTTAACCTGAATCGGCCACATATAAATGAATATCTCCCTTTTTTTTCTTTAAACCAATTGGAACGAAGTGAAAATTTTCTTTTGCAAATTGAATCAGAAGCATTTTTTTTTATTTATTTATCAAACACCATTTGCACTCTGAATCGTTCATCATTTCAATTTCTCAAAAAAAAAAACCCCAAAAATCGGAAAATTGAAAAAAAAAANTCAAACACCATTTGCACTCTGAATCGTTCATCATTTCAATTTCTCAAAAAAAAAAACCCCAAAAATCGGAAAATTGAAAAAAAAAAAGAGAAAACACCGGGGGGAAGAGAAGAGAGGCGAAAATGTGGACGAGCAACAATCGAATCGTCAATCTGGAAAAATGACGACTGAAACGATATCTCGCCGTCATCGCTATTCCTGCTGTTTTTTCTTTCATCAATGAAGAGACACACCAATATTGATTCGTCTCTCATTTTCGAACAGAGGTATGAAGAACAAAATCACTTAAACCCAACACACCCAGCTTCAAAATCAAAGAACTTTCACCCATATAATAGTACATAATCAATAGTGATTGAGATTTCCTATCCCCCCTACAAAACCCTAGATCAGCTAAGGATACAAGCTGCGGGTTTCGTAATTTAGGGCTAATTTTATTGCTGCTACATTCCTTTCCTTCGCTTTATAGACCAGTCCACCAGTTGAGTTGGTAACCCTAGAACACAACCCTGTACTTGTAATTACTAAAATACCCTTTTCCAGTCCATTGGATGAAAGTTTAGCCTCAGAAAACAGGCCGGGCNCCTAGAACACAGCCCTGTACTTGTAATTACTAAAATACCCTTTTCCAGTCCATTGGATGAAAGTTTAGCCTCAGAAAACAGGCCGGGCTGGCATACATGCCCATATTCATCTAATCCATGGTGGTTAGTTGGGCAAAGGGGTGTTAACCCATCGTGTGGATGCCTGGATAATGGTGGAGACACCATGTGGGATTGGATATTAGGGTGTGGGCCAATTATCCTTGCTTTGGCAATGGATTTTCAGGTTGGATGTTCATTCATTTTCAAAAACTACGGCCGTAGTTTTTCGGCCTCATTATCCCCCCTCATCTGGACAATGATATCCCACACTACCGTTGGAATTCACTTTCGGCCGACAGGATGCACACTACCTTTTACCATTTCACCCATGCCAAAGCTAAGTGAAGAAACCGCACGAGGAGCAGTGTTTGGAATCGAAAAGAACTGTTCGAAAATAGGTAATGGAAAACTCATAAATAATAATTACACTTTTATAGCCCCTGAACTATATTCCTCTCTCACATTTTTTTTCCACATCCCACATTTTCACTTTGTACTTTTTTTTTTTATTCAACGGTCAAGAATGTTCAAGTCAATTTAAACAATTAAGTTTTATTTTTAAACACAATTTTAGATTTTCTACAAATAAACAAATAACGATTTATACTTGAGTTGTCTCGATATGTATATTTTTCTGTTGGATTTTTTTTTTTCATGATGTCTTAGATGATTTTTGTGATTAAAAGTGTATTGTACAAATTAATTTAAATAACTTAACAAAATATTTATTGCAATATTTTCAAAAAATGAGTAACTTATTGATTCATATTTTTTTCGTAAAAAAAACAATACTAATAGACTGAGCTTTTTTTTCATTTTATTCCAAACATGGTATATGATTGGTTCACATTGTTTTACACAAAGGTGAAATGATCATTTTAGTATGTTTTAACTTTACATGGTAATGGGACTCATATAAACCAAATAAAACTTATCCAAAGATGGGATAAGATTTGAATCTTATCTTTATAATCTTCTAATCCAGACTACTTTGCATTAGATTGGATTGGGTTCGGATTCAAATACAATCCATCCAATCCTCTCATGGCAATCCAAACACCACTGATGGAAGGGGGCATATCAAATTAGATTTAATAATAAGGGGGTATATCAAATTGGATTTAATTATAAAAAAGTACACAGAAAAAATGTTGAGTAATTAAATCTNGCATATCAAATTAGATTTAATTATAAGGGGGTATATCAAATTGGATTTAATTATAAAAAAGTACACAGAAAAAATGTTGAGTAATTAAATCTTTACTTTTAATACTTATTTGTATCTAAGTAAATTATTTGAATTTTAATAATTTTTTGTGACATTTTTGTGCTCCATTGATCCATGTGTATTTTTTTTTTTAAAATAGTGCATTAAATATCTCATAGTTTTATGAGAAAACTATAATATTCCATATTTGTATGTCTTTCATTGATTTATGCGTATTTTTTTGGAAAGTAGTTTTATTTTTTAAATTATATTTAATGCACATTAATTCATGCCTTTTTTTTTAAAGTGGTTTTGTTTTCAAATTATATTCATATCCGAACAGTGTAACAAGTCATTTACACAAAATATTGTACTATTACATTTTGTCAAACATATATTTTCATATAATTTTATTCAAAACAATTCATCTCCATTTTGAATTTGTTACCACATGCACAAAACTATTGGACACTATTTTTGTTACAATGTATTGTTACACTGTTTTGTTACACTATTATGGAGTTTGGATAGTAACAAATTTTGAAATTCAAACAAGTTATATATTCTAAAATAAATGGAATATTAAAATTTTCCTATAAAATTAGCAGTAGTAAATATTTAATGCATAAATATAATTTGAAAATANAATTTTCCTATAAAATTAGCAGTAGTAAATATTTAATGCATAAATATAATTTGAAAATAAAATCACTTTTTAAAAAAAATACGCATGAATCAATGTACATTAAAGATAAAAGATTTTGAATTAAATAACCCTAAATTTCAGCGCTTAATAAATGTGTTGTTAAAGTTTTTGGCAAAGAAAATTTTATAAAATTAGCNAGTGTATTGTACAAATTAATTTAAATAACTTAACAAAATATTTATTGCAATATTTTGAAAAAATGAGTAATTTATTGATTCATATTTTTTTCGTAAAAAAAACAATACTAATAGATTGAGCTTTTTTTTTCATTTTATTCCAAACATGGTATATGATTGGTTCACATTGTTTTACACAAAGGTGAAATAATCATTTTAGTATGTTTTAACTTTACATGGTAATGGGACTCATATAAACCAAATAAAACTTATCCAAAGATGGGATAAGATTTGAATCTTATCTTTATAATCTTCTAATCCAGACTACTTTGCATTAGATTGGATTGGGTTCGGATTCAAATACAATCCATCCAATCCTCTCATGGCAATCCAAACACCACTGATGGAAGGGGGTATATCAAATTAGATTTAATAATAAGGGGGTATATCAAATTAGATTTAATAATAAGGGGGTATATCAAATTAGATTTAATTATAAAAAAGTACACAGAAAAAATGTTGAGTAATTAAATCTTTAATTTTAATACTTATTTGTATCTAAGTAAATTATTTGAATTTTAATGATTTTTTTGTGACATTTTTGTGCTCCATTGATCCATGTGTATTTTTTTTGAAAAATAGTGCATTAAATATCTCATAGTTTTATGAGAGAACTATAATATTCCATATTTGTATGTCCTTCATTGATTTATGCGTATTTTTTTGGAAAGTAGTTTTATTTTTTAAATTATATTTAATGCACATTAATTTATGCGTTTTTTTTAAAGTGATTTTGTTTTCAAATTATATTCGTAACAAGTCATTTACACAAAATATTGTACTATTACATTTTGTCAAACATATATTTTCATATAATTTTATTCAAAACAATTCATCTCCATTTTGAATTTGTTACCACATGCACAAAACTATTGGACACTATTTTTGTTACAATGTATTGTTACACTGTTTTGTTACACTATTATGGAGTTTGGATAGTAACAAATTTTGAAATTCAAACAAGTTATATATTCTAAAATAAATGGAATATTAAATTTTTCCTATAAAATTAGCAGTAGTAAATATTTAATGCATAAATATAATTTGAAAATAAAATCACTTTCTAAAAAAAATACACATGAATCAATGTACATTAAAGATAAAAGATTTTGAATTAAATAACCCTAAATTTCAACGCTTAATAAATGTGTTGTTAAAGTTTTTGGCAAAGAAAATTTTATAAAATTAGCATTTGCCTTTTTTGTATCTCGACTGTGTATTTTTTTCTAAAATATTTTGTTTTATGAATTTTTTTACAATTATGTCTAATTTGGTGTACTGACTTCTAAAAGACCCAAATTTTTATAGCCCATGATTTTTTTATTGAGTCAATCTTAACGAATCTTTTTTATCGAATGCATATTTTTGGATCAATACCCACCGACTCTTTGGCCCAGTAAAATTAATAAAAAATATTATTTAAATATAATTTGTTGATCTAGTGCATCTTAGTCATTGAATTGGTAGCAGGTGGTGTCTACTCTCAATCTAATTTGGGTCCATAATTGAAACTTANTCTCTCTCTCTCTCTCTTCTAGAATTAGAATCTCAGATTCACACAACAGAAGTTATAGTCGACCAAACTGCAAATTCATATTGGGAACTATATCTGCTATTTTGATTGGAATAAAGAGAAATTTTTTTGAGGGTGTGTGTTAATTCATTATATGGGGAAGTCTGGTGGTAGGAAAAAGAAAGGTGGTGTTAACCAAAACCATGTTTCTGGAGATAGCAACCCTGTACCAAATGTTAACGGTGGTGTTGATTTGAATTCATCAATCTTCCTAAAAAGAGCCAATGAGCTCAAAGAAGAAGGAAACAAAAGATTTCAAGCTAAAGACTATGTGGGTGCTCTTGAACAATATGAGAATGCCCTTAAACTTACCCCCAAAATACACCCGGACCGAGCTGTGTTCCATAGCAACAGAGCGGCTTGTCTGATGCAAATGAAGCCCATAGACTATGAAACTGTGATTGCTGAGTGTTCTATGGCGCTTCAGGTTCAGCCCCGGTTTGTCCGGGCCCTCCTGCGGAGGGCACGTGCATTTGAGGCAATAGGGAAGTATGAAATGGCGGTGCAGGATGTTCAAGCAATATTAGGCACAGATCCTAATCACAGAGATGCTCAAGAGATTGGCCAGCGACTGCGGACTGCATTTGGGCCTCGACAAGAGGCTCAGCAGGACCCCCAGAGCCGCCCATCGCCTGCAGCCCTTGGGGCTTCTGCAGTACGAGGAGCCCCAATNTCAAGAGATTGGCCAGCGACTGCGGACTGCATTTGGGCCTCGACAAGAGGCTCAGCAGGACCCCCAGAGCCGCCCATCGCCTGCAGCCCTTGGGGCTTCTGCAGTACGAGGAGCCCCAATTGCTGGAATAGGACCATGTTTGCCAGCAAGGCCAGTGCCAAAGAAGACAGCAGCTTCAGCAGCTGGATCTTNATTGCTGGAATAGGACCATGTTTGCCAGCAAGGCCAGTGCCAAAGAAGACAGCAGCTGGATCTGNCGCCCATCGCCTGCAGCCCTTGGGGCTTCTGCAGTACGAGGAGCCCCAATTGCTGGAATAGGACCATGTTTGCCAGCAAGGCCAGTGCCAAAGAAGACAGCAGCTTCAGCAGCTGGATCTTTTATATCATCTAATAGTAAGCTAGATAAGCCTTATCCAGTGCTCCCTGCTGAAAATGGTCCTGAGATCAAAACCCAATATCCAAAAATTGTTTTGAAGCCTTCAAATGGTTCTTCCAAACCCACCGCCACTTCAGGTAAGGATGGCCAAAAACAACAATCATCTTCTTCATCGATGCAGTTGCCCCCTCAGGTGCAGGCTTCAGAAGCTATAACTCGATTGAGGCCCCTGAAGCTTGTTTATGATCATGACATAAGGCTTGCCCATATGCCAGTTAATTGCCTTTTCCGAGTATTAAGGGAGATTGTAAGCCAAAGATTTCCTTCGTCAAAGTCAGTTTTGATTAAGTATAAGGATAGTGATGGTGATCTAGTGACTATAACCTGTACTGGTGAACTCAGGTTGGCAGAATCCTGTGTTGACAGCCTTTTACCAAAAGAACCTGAAACAGACAAAGGGGACTCAATTGGGATGTTAAGATTGCATATTGTTGAAGTAAGTCCAGAGCAGGAGCCACCTTTATTGGAAGAAGAGGAAGAGATGCCTCTTGAAAGTGAGCTAGTGAAAGGAGACGAGGGTGGATCGCATTCTTCACTTGGTGATTCGGTAGTGGAATCTTTGGATACTGAGACCGAAAAGACAGAGAAGGCAGCTCCAAAGGGAAAAACAGAAACATCAGAAGATACCGAGTGCAAGGAAGTGGAGATGGATGATTGGTTATTTGAATTTGCTCAGTTGTTCCGCACGCATGTTGGCATTGACCCCGATGCTCATATTGACCTGCATGAGATGGGAATGGAGCTGTGTTCTGAGGCACTTGAGGAGACAGTAACAAGCGAAGAGGCTCAAAGCCTGTTTGACATGGCTGCCTTAAAGTTCCAGGAGGTGGCTGCTTTGGCTTTCTTCAATTGGGGCAATGTTCATATGTGTGCAGCTAGGAAACGGATCCCAATAGATGACTCTGCTTCAAAGGAGCTGGTGGCAACACAGCTTCAAGCAGCTTATGAATGGGTAAGGGAAAAATATTCAATGGCGAGAGAGAAGTATGAAGAAGCACTTTCGATAAAACCCGATTTTTATGAGGGATTGCTGGCTCTGGGGCAGCAGCAATTTGAAATGGCAAAACTTCACTGGTCATTTGTTCTCGCTAAGAAAGAGGATCTTTCAAAATGGGATCCTACCGAGACAATTCAACTTTTTGACAGTGCAGAAGAGAAAATGAAAGCTGCTACCGAGATGTGGGAGAAGCTGGAAGAGCAGAGAGCCAACGAGTTAAAAGATCCTAATGCAAGCAAGAGGGACGAATTGTTAAAGCGGAGGAAGAAACAGGCAAGCGGTAAAGAAGGTGAGCCCTCTGGAAGTGGTGGTCCAGGGGATATTTCAGCTGCTGAAGCAGCAGAACAAGCAGCAGTGATGAGGTCACAGATACATCTTTTCTGGGGTAACATGCTTTTTGAGCGATCTCAAGTTGAATGCAAACTGGGGTCGACTGGGTGGAAAAAGAACATGGAAACTGCTGTTGAGCGGTTTAAGCTTGCTGGAGCTTCTGAAGCTGACATCTTGATGGTTATGAAGAATCATTGCTCTAATGAAGCATCTGCTGAAGGACATGAGAAAAAGGTTGAAAATCGAAGCACTGGTGTGGCTAGTGAAACAGAGAATGAAGGACATGTGAAAAAGATTGAGAATTTAAGCACGGGTGTGGCTAATGAAACAGAGCACGAAGGACATGAGAAAAAGGTTGAGAATCTAAGCACTGGTGTAGCTAATGAAACAGAGAATGAAGATGGGGAGAATCAAGTATCAGGGGAGTTGATCTGATGCAAGGTGCTTTTTCTTTGCATGAGGGTGGATTGAATTTTTTCCTTCCTATTTTGAGAAAGAGAATTGGATGCGAACATTTCACTATTGTGTACTCACTCAGAATGTTTTTGGTGTTCAATTGTGTACCAGTAATTTTCAAGGTCACACTAATTTTAGCAATGCTGATGAGCTTCCGTGAACAATTTATAACCCTTCAGGTGGGGTTTCTATGAGGTGATAGCTATCTTCATTTATTTCAAGTATGCTTCTGATCTGGTGATGGTCAAAATGGTTAGGATACTAGTACTGCGCAGTTGTTTCCATGTCTCAGCCAAACATGAGATAACTATTCTTTTGAAGAAAAAATCTCAATTAGCTTTGTGGCAGTTCTATATGTAATGTGTTATTACTTAATGTCCATTTCATATCTTTGAAATAATGTTAATGCTAAAGAATCACATATTTGGCCAATTACTGTGAATGAAAACCTGATTTAGGCATGTGATTATTTGATAAAGAAGAAACTTATCGTCGTTTGTGTTATTGTTGTGCCGAGTTTTATCTGTTTGACAAATANTTGTGGCAGTTCTATATGTAATGTGTTATTACTTAATGTCCATTTCATATCTTTGAAATAATGTTAATGCTAAAGAATCACATATTTGGCCAATTACTGTGAATGAAAACCTGATTTAGGCATGTGATTATTTGATAAAGAAGAAACTTATCGTCTTTTGTGTTATTGTTGTGCCAAGTTTTATCTGTTTGACAAATGTGAGAATTTAGAAATATGGCTATCCATTCACAGACTTATTCTCATAAAATTTATTCCAGATGCACCTGGATATTTCTAATGTTCCTTTATTAAGCCAGATATTGGGTGGATGGTTGTTCTTTCACTAGGTAAGGTTTGTTTATAGGTATTTTAATCTTGCATCGAGCCTTCGTTTAGCTTAACTACAATACATTACTCAGATTCGGATTAAANGACTTATTCTCATAAAATTTATTCCAGATGCACCTGGATATTTCTAATGTTCCTTTAGTAAGCCAGATATTGGGTGGATGGTTGTTCTTTCACTAGGTAAGGTTTGTTTATAGGTATTTTAATCTTGCATCAAGCCTTCGTTTAGCCTAACTATAATACATTACTCAGATTCAGATTAACGTTTTATCTGAAATAGTTTGAGCATTTGGGAAAAATCTTTTTCCTTTATCTGTTTAAACTTTTTTATCTTGTTCTCATTCTTTCCAACAAACTCAAATACATTAGTTGTTTTTATATTCGTCAGAGTTGGGGAAGCTTTTATTCATTTAGTGAACGAGATTCTAGCACCTATATACTAATCTTCAAAAGTCGGATTGTTTATGGTCTGTGGTAATGTTAAGATAGTTTTCACTGCTAGGCAAATGCTGTAAATGTGAAACAAGATTAGCTTTACTGCATGTTGCCTCAGAAATTTCTTTTCTTTTGCTTAGTTTATAATTGCTCAATAGCAGGTGGTTTCAATCCATTTGGTATATTCCAAGAAACTGTTTTAGGTTTTCTTTTCATCAGATTTTGACCTGTGCCATGGTTTATAACTGTATGGTAACACGGTGTGTTCTCTCTTCCTCTTAACATGTCCAACTTATTCTCTGATCCACTTTGAAGTTTATGTGCCTTTGCCTAAGTTTATTGTTTCAGATACTCACCTTTCAATGCCAGAAAATAGTTACGATTTCTATGGTTCTTTAGTTTAGTTTCAAATAATATTAGTTTAGTTTCACTGCGTAGCTACCACACAACCAGTGCATCGTATGCGGAACTCTGATAATTAGAAATTGAATTTTTTGGGAAATTCCATTGCTTTTTTCCTGTGCAATGCAAATCTACCATTTCATGTTCACAGGAAGGGATTTCAGGCTCTCAAGGGGAGGGAGAGGGGCAAAAGTTATAGGAACAATATAATTCTGGTATCTACTATTCATACTGCACCAACTACCAATAGAATTAAGAGGTTTATGTTTCTCAGAGGAGTGGGTGATCATAGTAAGTATAAGCATTATGACATGCTTGATTCTGGTGTTTCTCAAATAGGTGGCCATGATCATGGAAGTGTTACGTCTATCATCTTTCAAGCGCTCCCAATTTTATAGATTTAATATGAAGATCTGTTAAAGTAGATCTATACAAGGGTTTGGGTGATGTATTTGTTTTCAGTGCTCCATTTTCAGAAGTTGGATTTCTCTGTGGATATACAATGAGGTAAGCCCACTTAGAGGTGGATTATCCTGTCTTGTTAAAGATTGGCTTGATGTAATGTGCAAGGATAATAGTTNAAGCCCACTTAGAGGTGGATTATCCTGTCTTGTTAAAGATTGGCTTGATGTAATGTGTAAGGATAATAGTTTTTTGTTTTGTTTTGTTTTGTTTTTTTGGTAACAAGGAACCTTTTGAAGCCAATGCTACATTGGACCCACTCATACAATGTAAATTCCGGAGAGTCACCAGGGAGGATTGAACTCAAGGTGTCTGTGGTTGCAATTTGCTCCAAATCTAATTCCACACTGCTGGATTATCCTGCCGGTTAAGGGTAATTGTTATCCAGCTTATTTGTCTCCATTCTGAGTGATTCGCTTCTTCTTTTGCGCAAGTGCTTGGTTCGCCCCTTCTTGTGTTGGTACCTGATGTTGATGCGATTCTATATTAATTTCTTAATCCCNGGAGGATTGAACTCAAGGTGTCTGTGGTTGCAATTTGCTCCAAATCTAATTCCACACCACTGGATTATCCTGCCGGTTAAGGGTAATTGTTATCCAGCTTATTTGTCTCCATTCTCAGTGATTCGCTTCTTCTTTCGCGCAAGTGCTTGGTTCGCCCCTTCTTGTGTTGGTACCTGATGTTGATGCGATTCTATATTAATTTCTTAATCCCTTTGACTTATTTGATGAACTAATTTAAAATTTTTCTTAAGTAGATGGAGAGAGCAACAATTTCTCTTGGAAAAAATAGAATTGCTGGTCAAGCATTGGCTCTTCTGAAAAGTTATGGGTAAGAAGATGAACTTGATGATCAAGTTACTGTCATAAAAAGCTATGATGGCATATAATCTCATTATTAAACTCCCATTAGTAAAGCCTTTTTGACTAAGTTTTTCTTAGCACATTCCGTTTTGAGTTCAACCTGCATAAATATTGAAAAGGAACTATATAAAGAGACTGGGGTACTATTTTTTTTACACTATAGTTAAAAAGTTAAACATAAATAGGTAAATTTATTGTGATTAAAAGATTAAAATGTAAGTGTTAAAATAAACCGTCAGATCTAAACAATCTAGTTGTTGTACTTTATACAAGCTGAACGCTCTATTTTATTTTGTAGAGATATGACTGACAAATTGCAGTTCCTTTACACAAAGTAAACCTCGCCCACACCACTAGAATCAGACAACACTCCAGGGACTTCAACCCACAGCAGCCAAAAAAATCAAACCCTCTGAACAATAAGGACACCCAAACAAGAAAACAGTAATGGTGATATGAACACACACACAAACCCTACTGGTTTTTGAGCTAAAACCAACTCAAACTGTTGAAATTGGAGTACTGTCCATAGCTTTCATTGCTTCAAACCTTGGTTCTTTGGCTTGGAACTTCAGGCCAGAGTAAAGCTTCATGTAGTCCTCGAACAGGAATTTCGGATACATTTCTTTCTTCTCATCTTCTCTCTCTACCAATGCAGGTGCCGGATAAATCACAGCATCGCTGCCCGGATTGTAGAATGATGCTATGGACATTCTGTTCCCGTCCGGTTGAGCAATCACCCGGTGCATTACACTCTTGTATTTGCCATTAGTGATCACCTTCACACAGGTAACGAAAATTCTAGGGGTTAAAATAACTACTTTATTTGGATTGTTCTAAATGAACTGAAAGGTAGGTGACTAGAGTGGGGTTGGTAAGCAATCCGAGTAGCTAGACTTTAGCTCATGCTCTACTCGATTTTGCCTCATTTTGGCTTGTTCAATTTGNCAATCCGAGTAGCTAGACTTTAGCTCATGCTCTACTCGATTTTGCCTCATTTTGGCTTGTTCAATTTGTCCAATGAATCAAATTTAGTCAGACTTCTAAACTTATTTTATAAACAACTCAAATCCGAGCAACATGTACCTCGACTTGAGTAAGTTTGGCTCAGGGAATAGGTTCCTCTTTATGAATGATTCTATTTTTATTGTAAGAATATTCCCAATTTGAAAGCTAAATAATCCCAAATTTAAATCTCAATAGCTTTAGATGATGCTCAATTCTCTTTCTCACTCTCCTTGAATAGATTGAGAGTTTTTTTTTTTTTTTGAGAAATTGACCTTGTTTTTGACTTAACTACGACTCGGATGCTCACAAGCTTCTACTAAGTCAAGATTGAGCAAGAATCTATACTTGATGGTTGAGCTCAGCTCAAGCTCGAATTCAACTAGCCGAGCTTAACTCAACTAAACACAATTCAGCTGAGTTTGAACATACTTAAACTCGAAAAAGCTTGACTCGATCAACACATCTAACTAAATACTATTTGAATGTACCTCGAGTTGATCCCCCATGTTGATTACAATGAAGTGGCGCAGTGGTGGTACATCGACCCATTCACCGTCCTTGAGTAGCTGGAGGCCACTGACCTTGTCGTCCTGGAAGAGGAGGATGATGCCACCGGCGTCAGTGTGTGCCCGGAGGCCCTTTATGAGTTCTGGCCGGGGACAAGGAGGGTAGTTGCTGACCTTGGTACCAAAGGTAGGGCCCTTGGAGCCATAGAAAGCCTTCTTCAGGTACCCTTTCTCTAGCCCAAGGTTCTCACATAGCAAGTCCAGAAGCAACTCAGCTAGTTTCTCTAGTTCCAGTACAAACTCCTTCATTGCCTTCCTGTTATCATTTACACTATAGTTGAGTGCAAGTGAAAAATATATATNGTACAAACTCCTTCATTGCCTTCCTGTTATCATTTACACTATAGTTGAGTGCAAGTGAAAAATATATATAGAAACACTTTTTGTATCCTCCCATCAGGATTCAAAAATCCTGGTACTGACATCACCAGATTAAAACCGACTCAAGCTGAGTGCCAAATTGTTTGTTCTTGGCTCGTTCGGTCGCAAAGACTGTTCAGACTCGGATCAGGTCCTTGAGTTTCAATTAACTTGTTTTAAGTTGTTTCGTCAATTTGTTTGTACAAGCTCAAACTCGGTCCTTTTATTATCATGACATTAAACAAACTGATCTTGAGCTTGTGTTTGCTCATAAATTCGATCAAGCTCAGATATGCATGTCTGTGAGTTCATAAGCTTGACAATCGCAACTATTTGGCAACGTGTAGCGGATCCCAAATAGTCGGAACTTGTCCTCTTGCATAACCTATTAGTAGTTTGTGATTGGAACCTGTAATCTTCTTCAAGATCAGGGGTCTGAGAGAGGTTTGAAACAGGAAGATGGCGCAAGAAGAAGGTGCTTTCCCAGTCCAGGTCACTGATTTCACTGTGATCAGCGGCCTCTAAGCCCTTACTTGCCACCATTTCCTTGAACCTTTCTTCCATACACTTGTTGTAGTGTTCCTTTGTCAGCCTCTCCACACTGTCCATTAGCTCATGAGGTATCCCATGATTGACCAGCTTTAAACAATTCAACGATATATATATATAGAGAGAGATAGAAAAGCAACTCAGTAAAGCTCTTTAGAACTATATACACACGCAAGAAGNAGAGAGAGATAGAAAAGCAACTCAGTAAAGCTCTTTAGAACTATATACACACGCAAGAAGAGAGAGAATTAAAAAAACAGTGTTACCTCAAAGAAGCCCCAGTTCTCACAAGCATCTTTTATGATCTCCATTGTGGCAGCCCTCTCTTCACCATTAAGCTTCTCCATGTTAATGACTGGGAAAGTCTTCATCTCTCTGTGTGTGTATGTGTGTGTGTGTGTGTGTGCGCGTGTGAGAGAGAGAGAGTGTGTGTGAATTTATCTCTTTGTGTATACTGCAGGTGTAGGAGTAGATATATAGGCCTTTGTGGAGANGCGCGTGTGTGAGAGAGAGAGAGTGTGTGTGAGTTTATCTCTTTGTGTATACTGCAGGTGTAGGAGTAGATATATAGGCCTTTGTGGAGAGAGATAAGGAGAAAAGGTATGGTGTCACTCTTCCACATTAATATAACCCCGGCACGAATTTGACACCATACTGGGTAGGTTAGTATTAAACATGAATATCCCGTTACTGGTATGGTTTTCAATATTGTAAATTNGTATGTGTGTGTGTGTGTGTGTGCGCGTGTGAGAGAGAGAGAGTGTGTGTGAATTTATCTCTTTGTGTATACTGCAGGTGTAGGAGTAGATATATAGGCCTTTGTGGAGAGAGATAAGGAGAAAAGGTAGGGTGTCACTCTTCCACATTAATATAACCCCGGCACGAATTTGACACCCGTTACTGGTATGGTTAGTATTAAACATGAATATCCCGTTACTGGTATGGTTTTCAATATTGTAAATTTTAATCTAATATTATAAGTTTTTATTAACACGATACGATACGCAACTAAAAAAATATGATCTAACTGTGAAACTACTTGAGACGATACAAAATACATTCAACAAGGTATAACTCGATTGACACCCCTACAAAAAAGGATAAAAAATAATAAGTGGGGATGAACAATTAAAGTTAAGAATCCGGCCAAATCCAAGAAAAAGAAGAAAAGCAGTGCTTGTGGAGCATATAAGTGATCACATCCAGACAGACCTCCACCAACTTTGGCTGAATCTTTGGGCATGGTCTAGGGCTTGATCCACCTCTCTGATGGCCATGGGGTGGGACCAAGTATGGTGTGTTGGCTTGCTTTCTAGGGCCTTGACCAAACTAGAGGTGGTGACTGCTACTTTTGCCCGTCTTTTTTGTTATTGCTTCTGTTTGGATGCCTGAAGATGACATGTATGTGATCGAATCAAAGAGAGAATTGGTCGACGTGTGTGTAAGCTGACTCAGACATCTCGAACTGTTGAACCAAAAAAAAGAAGATAGACATCTATGAAGTTGTCTTTCACTTACCTAATTGCCTTTGTTTTATTGTAGGCAGTATTTTGCCATTGACAATTTGACATGCCTATGCAGCTTTATAGTTTTTGGTAATCATTTACCNAATACGATACGCAACTAAAAAAATTTGATCTAACTGTGAAACTACTTGAGACGATACAAAATACATTCAACAAGGTATAACTCGATTGACACCCCTACAAAGAAGGATATAAAATAATAAGTGGTTGGATGAACAATTAAAGTTAAGAATCCGGCCAAATCCAAGAAAAAGAAGAAAAGCAGTGCTTGTGGAGCATATAAGTGATCACATCCAGACAGACCTCCACCAACTTTGGCTGAATCTTTGGGCATGGTCTAGGGTTTGATCCACCTCTCTGATGGCCATGGGGTGGGACCAAGTATGGTGTGTTGGCTTGCTTTCTAGGGCCTTGACCAAACTAGAGGTGGTGACCGCTACTTTTGCCCGTCTTTTTTGTTATTGCTTCTGTTTGGATGCCTGAAGATGACATGTATGTGATCAAATCAAAGAGAGAATTGGTCGACGTGTGTGTAAGCTGACTCAGACATCTCGAATTGTTGAACCAAAAAAAAGAAGATAGACATCTATGAAGTTGTCTTTCACTTACCTAATTGCCTTTGTTTTATTGTAGGCAGTATTTTGCCATTGACAATTTGACATGCCTATGCAGCTTTATAGTTTTTGGTAATCATTTACCCTAAAAACTTTGTGTCTAGATAAAGTTGATTAGGATTGATTCCAATACTTCAAAGCTTTTCAGTCATTATTTTCCTGTGAGAGCCTGTGATATCTACATAGTTTTTAACTTGTGAAGATAGTTAACTTCAGTGATTAATAGTTTGAGGTCCTAAGTTAGAGTCTTAAAAGTGATGCTAAGCATAGTTTTACGGTTGAATGCGTCCCATCTAAGGCGTATCCAAGAAACACAAGATTGATACACAAGATTGATACAGTTCCACTTGTTTGATCACGTAGATGAAATNAGTGCTTGTGGAGCATATAAGTGATCACATCCAGACAGACCTCCACCAACTTTGGCTGAATCTTTGGGCATGGTCTAGGGTTTGATCCACCTCTCTGATGGCCATGGGGTGGGACCAAGTATGGTGTGTTGGCTTGCTTTCTAGGGCCTTGACCAAACTAGAGGTGGTGACCGCTACTTTTGCCCGTCTTTTTTGTTATTGCTTCTGTTTGGATGCCTGAAGATGACATGTATGTGATCGAATCAAAGAGAGAATTGGTCGACGTGTGTGTAAGCTGACTCAGACATCTCGAATTGTTGAACCAAAAAAAAGAAGATAGACATCTATGAAGTTGTCTTTCACTTACCTAATTGCCTTTGTTTTATTGTAGGCAGTATTTTGCCATTGACAATTTGACATGCCTATGCAGCTTTATAGTTTTTGGTAATCATTTACCCTAAAAACTTTGTGTCTAGATAAAGTTGATTAGGATTGATTCCAATACTTCAAAGCTTTTCAGTCATTATTTTCCTGTGAGAGCCTGTGATATCTACATAGTTTTTAACTTGTGAAGATAGTTAACTTCAGTGATTAATAGTTTGAGGTCCTAAGTTAGAGTCTTAAAAGTGATGCTAAGCATAGTTTTACGGTTGAATGCGTCCCATCTAAGGCGTATCCAAGAAACACAAGATTGATACACAAGATTGATACAGTTCCACTTGTTTGATCACGTAGATGAAATTTTAGTTCCGTCCCGGATGAATAGTTACAATTATTTGAAGAATTAGTGTTTATTAATAAAAAAATTACAAAGTTGTAATAACAACACAAATAATTGCAACTTTCCACTTACATTTGTACCAAAATCATACACACACAATAAGATGTGACAAGAACACCAACAACATTATGTAACGAATATTTCATGGTCTTACAAATGAAATTGAATCACTCAAATTATCCGATCAAACCCTAATTGGTCACGAATATCGAGGATATCTTGGCCTTAGAATATATCAAGTATCTCGAGAATCGANAACATTATGTAACGAATATTTCATGGTCTTACAAATGAAATTGAATCACTCAAATTATCCGATCAAACCCTAGTTGGTCACGAATATCGAGGATATCTTGGCCTTAGAATATATCAAGTATCTCGAGAATCGAACGGTTGCAGAGGGGACAAGACCCTCGATTTAACCACAACTCCCTTGAACACACCCTGCAAAAAGTGTGCCCACATGGTATGAAAGCTGCGCCCTTGTTCCTCCTCATGCACACGCAGCACATTGAATCACTCCCCGCCCCATTTTCCTCCTTCCCCGTCTCTCCATCACAGCCGTCTGATTCTTCCAGCAATCTCATCAACGATACTCTCAACGGTGTCCCTGGTGATGTTTCGGCAGTTACGTCACTCGGCCCATTGATATCGGGCCTTGCTGGCCTTGGACTTAAACCAAATCCATTGTTATTGGGCCTTATTGGACTTGGGCTTGAGCCGAAGCCTCCATCAGATTCTTGGGTCGCCCGGAAGTGTCGTTCGGCGGCCAACGCCGCCGCCAGGTTCATACCTGAGGCACCAGGAATATGACCCACACAGTCGGGATCTGACTCCGTCTCCGGCGGAGACTGACCCACATCACCACCCCCTATTAGTTGCTCCTGTGGGCCTTCATCGTCCTCATCGTCTCTGACGCTTACAGTCGATGGCCCGAAAACCCATGTGGCGCCACAGCATCCCAATCCTAGCCGTTCTTTTAGACTCTTCCGACTTCTCAATCGATCGACCCCATTCATTCTCTCTCTCAAGAACTCCACTATCGTTCCTGCTTCTCTTTCTCTCTCTTCTCTTCCCTGCAAACCCAGAGCCAATATTTCACCCATTTGGTTCATTCTTTCACACACACAGAAATCAAAATTTCACACACAGCATAAAAACACACACACACATCTCTCTCTCTCTCTCTCTCTCTCTCTCTCTTCCCTGCAAACCCAAAGCCCAAAGTTTCACCCATTTGACTAGTTCTTTCACACACCCAGAAACCAATACAAAACACACACACACATGCATGGAGGAATTAAAGGTTNCATTTGACTAGTTCTTTCACACACCCAGAAACCAATACAAAACACACACACACATGCATGGAGGAATTAAAGGTTAAGGCATGGAAATAGCGTGACTTACTTGAAGAATGGGCAAGACCCACGAGCCCACCACCTCTCTGAGACTCTTGAGCCAATTCACAGGATAGAGAGTGAACAAAAATGGGGGAGGCGACCATAAATGAGAGAGAGAGAGAGAGAGAGAGAGAGAGAGGGTCCAAAGGAAGCGGTTTTGAGAAGATGGGGAAATCAATAAATGGTGGGTTTTGGTGATATCATTGACAGCTTCGCCATAGATAAGAGAGAGTATAAGCTTTGAAGAAAGAGACAGACAAAATGGAAGAATAAGAAGAGGTTAAGAGATGAAAATAATAAGAAAATGGTGGGCCATTGGAGAGTTTTCTTGATTGCAAGAAGAGCATTTGGTTCTTTAATATGTATTGAAGTATAGTATTAACATTTTTTATTTGTTTTCCAAGGTATAATATTGATTGATTTTGTTGGTTTATTATGTGGTTAAGTTTTGTGTGTGGTGGTTGCCGGCAATTAGCTATAACTAAGTCAAAAGCCATTGAAGCAGGAGGCGCAGACACCGAGGTTTAACCATGTGGCACTTGGGACCTTGCCACCGGTTTAAGGTGAGTGCGTGTAGGTTAACGAAGGATGTGTCACCCAAAAGCTAGAATCTTATGAAGTGTCCCTGCCGAAATCTGTGTATTCTGAAAACGACAGTTTAATTTTACCTAGAAAAACAATAAAGATAATAAAATTA